AGCTGAGGGCAGTGCTATTGACATGAAAGACGTAGGGCATTTGCGGAGATGGTCTATGGCTTCTGGCTCACATATGGAATGTTTCTCAAAGACCAGTGAGTCACAGGCTTGGTCTCAGACCATGGCACTATTGGGAAGTAGGTGAATTGTTAATAGATGCAGCCTAATGAGAATCTTTGGGCCACTGAGTGTCCTTGAAAGAGCTAGTGAGGACCCAGATGCCCCTACCCACACATATTTCTTGTATTTCCCTTTCTTCTTCTTCCTCTTCCTCCTCTTCCTCTTTTTTCTTTGCCAGATGCCAGAAGCTGAGATTCTCTCCTCTACTGTGCCCTGTGTTCCCCACATAATATTCTGCTTCAAGACAGGCTCTGATCAATGAAGCTGATTGACGATAAACTGAACCCTCCAATGCCATGAGCCAAACAACCCGTCCCCTTCCAGCCTTCCTTCTTTTTCCTTTTTTTCTTTGCTGGATCTCACTCTGTAGACCAGGCTGGCTTTGAACTCACAGGGATCCACTTGCCTCTGCCTCCTGAGTGCTGGGACTGACGGTGTCCACCACTACTGCCCAGCCTCCTCTTTCTAAGTTGAATTAATTTAGGTATGTGTTACATGGAGGAATGTTGACTAACACACACAGGATGCTGGATTCAGTATGTGAAGTTCCTGGATTCTTTGTCTAGAGGAGAGGACTAAGCATAGGCCAGTGCTAAAAACATGGCTGGTGATCAGATTGCTTGGAAATGACATAAAGAGACAAGGGCCTGGCACAGTTTCACCAGGGAGAAGTCCAGAGGGATATGGGAAAGGTTAAGGAGGAGGATCAAAGAGTGGTTTGGAATGAGCAGGGAATCTGGGACTTGCTCTCTTCTGGGCTATATAAGGAAGGGGTGAGTGGGTACACAGTGGTAGCCGGTGAGGGAACGTCTCCGTTTCTCTAGTCTACTCCCTTGGAGAGCTCCTTGTTAGGAGGGCCAGTGTAACTAAGATTTCTGGTCATCCCCTACCCTTTTATTACCCATGTGAACGCCCTGTTCTTTGGACAAGGCAGCCTTCCCACTGGCTCTAGAAGGGCTACTTCTGCCATAGTACCAGCACCTAGGTGACTGCTTTTAGGATAGGGTTTAGTTATGTGACTTAGTGTAAACGTTCTAGCATGGAGCAGCCTGTGATCCACTCAATAGGGCACTGTCCTGACAAGCCCGGCACTGGGGCTTTCCATGGCTCCAGACCTGGGGCAGTCTCATGTGCTTGCACCCCCCACACCATGTGTGTGTCTTCATGTCGGGTGTGTGTGTGTGAGAGAGAGAGAGAGAGAGAGAGAGAGACAGACAGGGAGAGAGACAGAGAGACAGACACACACACAGAGAGGGAGAGACAGAGATAGACAGGGAGAGAGACAGACAGGGAGAGAGAGACAGAGACAGACAGGGAGAGAGAGAGACAGAGAGACAGACACACACACAGAGAGGGAGAGACAGAGACAGACAGGGAGAGAGAGACAGAGACAGACAGAGAGAGAGACAGAGAGACAGACACACACACAGAGGGAGAGACAGAGACAGAGACAGACAGGGAGAGAGACAGAGAGAGGGAGAGACACACACACAGAGGGAGAGACAGAGACAGACAGGGAGAGAGACAGAGAGAGGGAGAGACAGAGATAGACAGGGAGAGAGACAGAGAGAGGGAGAGACAGAGACAGACAGGGAGAGAGAGACAGAGACAGACAGAGAGAGACAGAGAGACAGACACACACAGAGAGGGAGAGACAGAGACAGACAGGGAGAGAGACAGAGAGAGGGAGAGACAGACAGGGAGAGAGAGACAGAGACAGACAGAGAGAGAGACAGAGAGACAGACACACACAGAGAGGGAGAGACAGAGATAGACAGGGAGAGAGACAGAGAGAGGGAGAGACAGAGACAGACAGGGAGAGAGAGAGACAGAGAGACAGACACACACACAGAGAGGGAGAGACAGAGACAGAGACAGACAGGGAGAGAGACAGAGAGAGAGGGAGAGACAGAGACAGACAGAGAGAGACAGAGAGACAGACACATACACAGAGGGAGAGACAGAGACAGACAGGGAGAGAGACAGAGAGAGGGAGAGACAGAGACAGACAGGGAGAGAGAGACAGAGACAGACAGGGGGAGAGAGAGAGAGAGAGAGAGAGGAGAGAGAGACTCCTGTACCTGTGCTATTTAGAAACCTTCCTGTTCTTTCTTACCTGACTCCTGCCCTGGCATGCAATCCTGCCTCAGCTCCTTCCTCCTCCTCAGGTTTCTAGAGAAGCAATTGCTTAGCAGGGATCCAAGCTCATTTCTCTGTACTCCATCTATAGTCTAAATCCTGACTGCATATTTCTCAGGAAATTTTTGAGCCAGCCTCTCCCTAATTCTTGTTCACAACAACTTTCTTATGCCTTCAGAGGCTTCCCATTGCCCTGAAGACAAATGCTGGAATCTCTGCCCTGGCATCAGTACCCTTTTCTAGCCTGTCTTCTCTGTTACTCCCACAACATGAGAAACTCCCACCCTACATAGTCGGCCCCAGGGCCTTTGCACACACACACTGCTTCTATTCTAAAGCTGGGGTAACCCCAACCCTTCTTGGCACCCCAGTTCTTGCCTCTCACTCATTTCCAGTTGTCTTTGCAAATGTTACATTCTCAGGCCTGCAAACCATGGGATCATTTGATTCATACCCATTTCACCCATTATTTATAAGAGAACACGCCTTTCCTTTCTCTCTTCTAGCTGCAGAGCTTGCTCCAGGTCTCAGGGAAGAGTCATCCCCGCAGGGCTGTGTTGGAAGAGTGGAGCAACTGGTGGCCTCTTTTAACCCCTGGTCACATTTATCACAGGAACCAGATGTGCTTCTTTACCCCCTATAAGGGAGGTGCGACTCTCCCAGAAGCAGCAACACCCCAAATTCCACCTGGATAAACAAAAAGGAGTGTTATTTGAGAGGTAAACCCTGGCCAGTCCTCACAGGCTTGACTCCCATTGTCCTCCTGAGCCAGGACAGTCAGCAGCATGAGGCACAGGCCTGGGAAGTAACGTGGCTACATCCTCTGGCAGAAATACACTGAACCAACAGGTGGTTAGGCTTTGGAGTTCTGACCCATTGGCCTGTCCTTTCCCAAACAGGCCTGCAAAGCCTGGGTCTGGTATCCGCTTACAAGGAGTGGCTCCAAAAGATAACTTGTAAGTGGGCTCAAGGGCATTGTGAGGGAGGGACTGATCTGCTTGCCCAGGACACGGGACTAGTAAGAGATGTGGTATCATCTCTCCCACACTGGGCAAGTGGAAAGGGACAGGAAGTTACAGTCCTCAGCTTACAGAGGAAAAGTTGGGGACAGAGGGTCAGGCGCTATCTGTAGCCACGTGGATCAGGAAGATTTGAGCCAGACTTGGATGAAAGCATTTTTTGCTGTCACAGGAACCCTAGTGACTTTGAAACTGGGCCAGGGTGGAGTCCTTTCATCCCAGTATCCTGGCATCTTGTGCTCAAGGGGTCAAACTATTTTCCAGACTCCCCTTAAGCAGGGTAACTCAGTTCCTTCCTGTGAGCCCTTGAGGGCTTCTCTGCCAGCTGGAAGGCCTCCTTGATTACATGTCTATTTCCTGCCTCGGGCTTTTAGAGCTGATCATTAATTAGAAGAATTCAATCATGCCCTGTGGTGGTGGCACAGGCCTTTAATCTCAGCATTCAGGAGGCAGAGGCAAGCAGATCTCTGTGAGTTTGAGGCCATCCTGGTCTAGAAACTGAGTTCTAGGACAGCCAAGTTACACGGAGAAACCCTGTTTCAAATATTTCAATCAAGTTGAAGGGCCACAGAATTACCAAATTCCCCCCTTTTTAAAAAGTAATTTTTCTTTTTGGTTTTTTGAGACAGGATTTCTCTCTGTAGCCCAGACTGTTCTGGAACTTACTCTGTAGACTGGGCTGGTCTCAAACTCACAGATCTGCCTGCTTCTGCCTCTCAAGTGCTGGGATTAAAGGCAGATTCCCCTCTTTCTCTTCACAAATGAGAAACTGGCCTGGGTTTAGGGTGCTGGAGGGGCAGGGCCGGGTTCTGGCTGGCAGTGTACATTACCTCAGGGGTTGGGGGTTGTCAGGGAGCCCTTGTGGTCAGACCTAGAACTCGACGATGGCAGCTGCTCTCCTCAACCCTTCAGCACACACAATGACTGTCTTGGACAGCCTTGCTCATAGCAGGGCTTCCTGTCCACCAGCCTGGTGGGGTAGCTATCTCTGTCCATTCTTGCGAGCTATACCCTCATGAGTATAGAGTCATGGAGTAAAAAAACTCCTGGGGGTTATGCTCACATCCCCTATCTCAGGTAAGAGAATGGAAGACTCCATATGTGAGTATTCAAGGTGACACCACAGGTAGGATTGCAGAGCTAGGATAAAAATCTTCAAATACATTTGTTGTCTCGAATTTTGACTCTTAGTGGCTAGGCTGGAAAAAACCTATTCTTACAGCCTTCTGACAGGGTTTGAGGGGGGTGTCTTGCAAACGGGTTCCTGTGTAGCAAAATCCTGGTTCAGGTAAGGGCCTTCTCTCCACACCCCCCCCCCCAGCCTACAGCTCTATTTGAAAACGACAACTCCACCCACCTCTGGTTCCCTTCATGCTAATTGCTAACACACCCAAAGAATGCAGGTTGCGGGTGACTGATACACAGAGGTTTCCTCCGATTTTTCTGCTTCCCTCCCCTGAGTTTACTATTTCCAAAAGATACCAGCCCTGTCACGGTGTTAGTCTGGCTCGCTTCCTACCCTCGCCAGAGGAGGAAAATCAAAAAGCAACAGCTGCTGGCAAATTCTCTCTGGCGCTGGGCGCCTCCTCCGCGCGCGTCTCCTGTTGCTTCTCCTAGCCTTACTTCCCTTTGAGAAGAGCTCGCTCGCGGAGAGGAAGGAGCCGGCTAAGACAGCACAGAGGTCGGTCACGGCCCAGCCCGAGAAGCCAGCGGACGGACGCGGGCGACCCAGGAGCCCAGCCTGTCAGCCCGCTCTGGGAGGCGGGAAAGCTGCAAGCCGCGCCCACTGCCCTGCCCCCAGCGCACCACTCCCGGTTTCTGGGACTCCTCACATCCTCCCGGGATCCGCTCGGAGGGGACCCAGTGCCTAGGTGAGCAGCAGGGGAGGTGGGTAAGTTGGCGCCTTATTACGCGGGGAGGAGGTTCGGTTGGGGACCCGTGTCTCTAACGCCTGATTTCTCCGAGTCTTGTTTGTTTCAGTGGGTGTGTGCCCACTTCCCCGCCCGGGCGGCGGGAAAAGGCTTTGAGGATGTAAACAAGGAGGTAAGCCTCGGAGGCCACTGGTCCCAGGATGGGGACGCAGGCAATGGCGGTGGGCGATGGTAGTGTCTGGGAAATGGTTTCGAGGCTGCTCTGAGCTTGGATCAGTAGCTCCGAGGAAAGCGGAGAGGACCCTTTAACAGGGAGCTTCCCTTTTGTTACTTGGAAGCTGAGGACCCTACCGGGAGTGGGAGATGTGAGGAACTGGGAATGTGGCTAGATGTGAATGTGGACACATTAGCCACACAAAATGGAACTTGCTGGCTTGGTGCTTGTGGGGTGTGGGTGTGGGCTGGGGGAATGGAGAGGGAGCCCTGAAGAAGGCATTGAGGTTCTAGGGCGTGGGGATTCATCTGACACATTGCCTTCTCTTGGGACATAATGCCTTCTCTTGGTCTATCAAGCCCAGTTTTATTTTCAGGGCCCCTGGTACCCTATCACCACCGGTCCCCCCCCCCCCCCAGGTCTGGTCCTAGCGGAGCCTCCCCCTTTGTGTCTGCATGGGTTTTTTGTAGAGTTGGCTGAGAGCCTGTGTCTCTGGGCGCCTGCTCCAGAACAGTCAGGTTGGAAATATGGGCCCACCCAAGCTGCTATCAACCTCCAGGCCCAGAGGTTGCTGTGTGCCCCAAGGCTTGGTCCCAGGGATGGCCCTCTGTCTTTATTCTCTTTGTCTAACCTGGCTTCGCATGCTGTAGGAACTGGGATTTCCAGCTTTGTAGAGAGACCAGGAGGCATCCCAGCCCTCTGTGAAAGGACCCCTGGCTCTGGGGTTCTGGCTGACCTCATACTGTGGATGTATGAATGTGTGTATCTGTTTTCCAACTTGGCCTTTTACACGTGACCTGTCTCATGGTTGCTATGGAAACCCCTCCACTGCAACCTCTCTCCTGTTTCTGCCCATTCCTCACCTCCGATTGCCTCCCCTCCCCCCAATATGGTTGCCTAGATACTGGTTACCCTTGGCTTTTAAGGGAGGACACCCTATGTCTGGCTCCTACTCTAAACTGCTTGGCCCTTTACCCACCCCATCATCATAAGCACCACACACACAAATGCACATACACTACACACATTATCATCACAGCCTCACATGCCTATCACCCCACACAGTCTATTAACATAATCCACACAAATCTTATATACATTTACATCACATGTACACCGAACATACCTCATGAAACACAACACATAAACACCAAAGACACCAAAAGCACACTACACCACATAAACACTTAATGCATTACCTACCCTACACACCACATACACATCAACCACACCACACACACCATATAACAGCCACACCAAATACACTGTATGCACCCCCCCACACACATACACACTAACATTGCATACCACCTACACACAACCTTCATTGTATGTGCACACACAAACTCTACCTGTAACACAAACCAGTTTACCAACACACACACACCAGGCTGGGTGAGGCTAAGGACACACACACACACACACACACACACACACACACCAGGCTGGGTGAGGCTAAGGACACACACACACTACACACACACACACACACACCAGGCTGGGTGAGGCTAAGGACACACACACACACACACACACACCAGGCTGGGTGAGGCTAAGGACACACACACACACACACACACACACACACCAGGCTGGGTGAGGCTAAGGACACACACACACACACACACACACACACACACACACCAGGCTGGGTGAGGCTAAGGACACACACACACACACACACACACACACCAGGCTGGGTGAGGCTAAGGACACACACACACACACACACACACACACACCAGGCTGGGTGAGGCTAAGGACACACACACACACACACACATCAGGCTGGGTGAGGCTAAGGACACACACACACACACACACACACACACACACCAGGCTGGGTGAGGCTAAGGACACACACACACACACACACACACACACACCAGGCTGGGTGAGGCTAAGGACACACACACTACACACACACACACACACACACACACACACACACACCAGGCTGGGTGAGGCTAAGGACACAGAGTGAGGACTGGTTTTCTTGCTGTTGTTCAGCCTTATCTTAGATATCTAGAGTATGAAGAGGGAAAGGGAGAAGTCCAGAGGGGAACTTCTGACATCTCCCAGGCACCTAGCAAGAGATGTTTCCAGTAAAGGGGCACCTCTACTAGGTGCCAGACTCCAGGGGCGAGGTGGGGCGGGGCACAAACCAGAATTTACATCTCTGTGGGCTCTGTTCTTCCCTCCATGAACCCAAACTGTTCCTTCCAACTAGAGGGGATACTGTGGAGGGGAGACAAGGCTGTCATGGAGCACACAAGTGGGCAGGGAGCAGAGATGTTGGGGGAGGGGAGCAGATAGCCGGAGGTCAGGTACATTGCTATGTGGAGTTAGGTCTCTCTCCCTCCAGGCCCATTTTCCTGCTTTCTGATTGCTCCTCCAGTCATTTCTGGGCAACTGAGAGGGTAAGCTTCATTGCCAAGGGCTGCTGAATTGTCAGGACACTCCCAAGACTTGTTCTCAGATGGCCAGAGCTTCAGGGAAGAGTTCCCCTCCAGGTTCCAGCTGACCCTTGAACTGGTAGAGAACCCATTTTGTTCAGTCATTGAATGGTTTTGAGCACCCACCATCTATTAACTTCTGGGAACATAACAGTGAGGAAAGAGACACAGTCCCTGACTCCAGAGCCTCAGGAGCATGGGCAGGTGGGGAAACTGAGGCAAAACCTTACAACCAGCAGTGCTTGAGGCCAAACTTCACAGGCGACATCTTGGGTTCCACACTGTCAGGCCTATTCCTCTTACCTTCTTCCCGTGGTGTCTATCAGTCCTTTGGAGATCAGACATATCCCTTCCAAAGTGAGGATCCTCATTTTATTTTCTTAAAGAGTGAAGTTGGAGGATGTGGCAAGGAGAAGTGTGAAGAGCAATTTCAGGACCTTACCCCCCCCACACACACACACAGCCTTTGGCAATCAACCTACTTAGATTCCCCCATGGAGAGCACACAGTCCTCAACCTCCACTCACTCCCTATTGGATGCAACAGGCTACCATCTGGGTGCAGATAGTGCCAGGTATCCCCTAGGATTGCCATCTAACAGATTGCCCATCTTCCCCTGCTGGGGTGCATTGAAAAGGCACAACTCACAGGAGATGGAGCTTGTGCCACCAAAAGCCTGGTCCTAGCTCCCTGGCCCAACCCTGCATGCTATGCTTCCCAAGGGCAAATGCATTTATTCCACACATATCCTATTGGATGCATGCACCACAGGTCTCTTGGTGCAACCTGAAAATGGCTTGGTCTGTGCTCAAGTAACCCGAGGACCTCCATGATCTTGGACATTTGTTTCTGGATCTGTCCATAGGGGATTTAGTCATTTCCAAGCGCCATCTCCTTCCTTTAAATGTGTATGGATTCTACAGTCTTAAAAGATTGCTTTTCTCTGCAGGCACCAATGTGGCGGGGGTGCAACTAAACTGAGCCGGAAAGAGATTGTCTGGCCTCTCTGGAGAAAGGTCAGGCAATGGCCGAGAGACCAAGGATGGGCTGAATGGGGGAGGGACTTTCTGGGCAAGCGTCATCTGTCTGTTCTGCTGGGACACACATGGGGCCTAAAAAGCTTAAAGGGCCCAAAGGGCCACCTCTGCTGAGCGTGAGCCTGGGACCAGCATTTAGTGAGTCTCTGAAGACCTCTGGACAGTTTAGAGAGCTTGGGGCACATTATCTTGGATCTCTGCCCTTGGCAAGAAGCCCCGCTTCTCTGGCCATGGCAGAAGTTGGGATACCGTTTAGCAGCATCTTCTCTGCTTTAAAACAGAGAACCCAGGAAACATAAAGCCAGCTTGGAAACAACATAGGAAAACTTTGGTCACAACAATGTCTGGCTGGGTGAGGGGCTGGGGAGGAAGGGCTCAGGACCCCAGAGATTAAATTGGGCCTGTGGGAGTGCCTCTGTCCAGTCAAGAAAGAGTCAGAGACCCTCCGTTCTCTACAACCTGAGAGCAAAGCCAGGCCTAGGTTTCACTCATTCATGCTTTTAGCAAATGCCAAGTCCCTTCAATATGGCAGGCCCTGTGGGCGTCTCAGAACCCTGTAGAGCTGTGGAGCCATGCTTTCTTATTCACTCTTGCTCAGACAGATCTCATGATTTGGCCTGTCCCTCCCGATGCACACTGCCCTCACCTCTGTCTTCCATCAGGGAGACCCTGTGCCTCTCCTTGTGCCCCTCTCCCTGCACAGGAGGACCCCTGACTCACGGATAAGTACACTTAGACTTTCGTGCCCAATCCCTTCCTCACACATACATAATCCTCTGTGCTGACACATAAGCAGGTGCTTGCACTTTCCCACACCCTCCTCCTTTCCCCAGCAGCAGTCTCTCACCCTTGTGATGGCCTATTAAGTTCTCCCTTTTGCCACCAGATCTGTTATCTGTGGCTCCTGGGGCTCCAGTTTGGTCCTGTCACAGCCCCTGTGTGTGACTATCCTGTCACTGACAGGTGCATGGTCCTACCCTTCAGGCCCTTCCCAGTCAGCTGAATCCACGTGCCCACTGCAAACCTGTGTTCTGCCCTCTACTTGGAACTTGCTAGAACTTGCTGCCCCTGCCTGTGGAGTTGGGGTGACAGACTTTGTAGAGCCATGAATTTAGGTTCTGGGGCTTTCCGGTTTCGCTGTTTTAACTTTTCCTTATATGTCAAATGAGCATGGAGATGTACTGGGGCTAGCTCTGTAAAGCAGTTGAACCATATTGATAACTTCATCTTACTGTCATTAGGAGACATCACTGTTCTGTCATCCTTCAAGGCTCCTCTCAAGTGTTCATTCCT